CCTGTCTAATCTCATAAAAAAAAAACAAAAAAACAACAAACCCCAAAACTACCAATTCTATGCTGGTTATGTTTCATCTCCAGATTTGCCACCTGTTTAGATTAAGATCTGAGTAAATAGCTGTAACAAGACTAAAATTCAGAAATCTTCACCCTCTCCAAATTCTCACTGTGATCTTCTACAGCATTCTAAAAAATACTACATTTGTCTACATTACTCAGGTCTATAATCTGAATCCCATAAATCTTTTTTAGATCTCTCTGTCTCTAAACTCTCTCTACTTCTGCTGTATTGCAGATTTTCATGGAATAAAATGTTCTGCATGTTAGGCACTGGCAAATACGGAATGCAGCTGTAAAGATCTTTCTTTTTTTTCTAGCGTTCTGCCATTTCCTCTGAAATACATCTCTAACTCTCCATTTCCTGTAAAAACAAAATCAAAGGAGCCCACATTTCAGCAACAAGTGTTAATTGATGTGGTCAAGTAAAACCGAATGCACCAACAACCACTGTGTAACCCATATCATGTGTTTAAAAAATAAAAATAAGACCCTTTTTCAATATAATTCAAATATGCACCAGTGTAGTAGAATTTTAAAATAAATTACCATCCGCTAGTGAAATTTCACACCGTAAGAAACGTTTTCACAGTATAGATTTTGTTGAGCTGAACTTCAACGTGGAACAAATATTTATGATGTAGTTATAAATAGCGTTTATAATGGAAATGTTGACTGCTGTGATAATATTCCCATGTGATAGACCCTAATGCATCTTGTCCTTAGCTAATGGACACTTGGACAGACCAACATAGAAATTTAATGGAGCAGGACAGTAGTGGTCCAGTTCTGTGTCCTGGAGTCAGTGCTTCTTTTTGGGGGCAAGCGAGTAATTTTGAACTGGAAAAAGGAGGCAGTTAAAACTCTAAGGTAGCACTGACCTCTTTCTTTCATACTTCCCATAGTGGCAGCTCAGAGAGGTATACCTAAGGCTAGCTTTTAAGAATGTACTTGTCAGTCCAGCTAGCTTTGCAGACAGATTTGATAGCCTTTACTAGGCAATCCACAAGTTGTATCTAGATGTAAATTAACTAGTTCAATACTTAATAGAAGCCTGACAAAATTACAGTGATTTCAATTGCTTTACTTCTCTACAGGAAATTGGCTCTCTGTTATTAGCTTAAAAAGTTAATTATGAGCTCTTTCCTCCCCCCCTAAGTAAGTCACTTCATTATGTCACTCAAAATCATGTTGGAAAAACTGAGAAAGCATCCTGGAAAAATGAAATTGGTTCATTTGCAACCTCTCCTCCCTTTGCTTTCTCTCAAGCCTGCTCTTTGTCCCAGGTGCATTCAGGAGGTCTGGGGAATAAGCTGAGCCAAGCATGTGTGTTTGTCAGTGTGGCAGGATGGGTGCATAAAGCCAACAAGTCCTCACACTGAGCAGGACAAAAGATATGAGTGGGGACACCCATATCTGGGACTTGACAGGACTGGTGATAAATTTGGAAGTCATGTGGCTAGCCAATAGTTAGAAAAATAAAGAACAGAACAAGAATAATTCTTGAAGCCCACCTTTTCTTTTAGCCCATCTTATTACTTTGACTATCAGATACAACTCCAGTGCCTTTATATACTGCTGTATACAGAAGTGTAAAAAGAAGATGGAAGAAATAAACTGTAGAGAAGAGGTGTCACAGGAAGAATCTAGACTACAGTTGCATGAGCATGATGTAGCAGTATGTCAAATCACTTAAAAAAATGAAGAGACTTTTATATGACTAAGAATAACTAGTGAGCTTCCTTACCCTTTAAGGCACAAACTGATAGCATAGCTGGTAACTCTAATCAGGGAAAAATGTTCACTGTAATTGGCTTCTTAAATAAAAATATCCGGCCCCATCCACATGCGCTTAGCCAGAACATTCCTGTTAATTAGCACCAGGAAGAAATCTCTCCTTCCTGTCCATATGGAGTTTGCATTTAGTGAACTGGAGGCGATGGAGACGACAGAGAGAAGGAAGATGGGGAGGATGTGCTTTCTTCCGAGATTACAGACATCAACATCTGGTCAAAAGAAAGTTTAAAACACAGCTTCTCTTTAAGACATTATTTCTTTTAGAAATCAGCAAAAATTTCCTACTGCTTGAAATGCTTTTATTTCTGAAACTTTATTGCAAAATGTCAAGTAATACTATTTCTGTAACAGTACCCTAACATTATAGGAAATAATGGTGCTAAATACTAATAATTCTTTTTATTAGAAAATTTTCATTTGCTGCTCATATATTTCATCTAAAATTCTGTTCACCTCTCTAGCATGGGTTAACTGTTAAATTGCTTCTTGATTGCTGTCATGCCTTGCTCAGGAGGTCAAAGGCTGGAAGAATTTTCTGGTGAGCAGTGTGTATTCTTCAAGCAGTTGGTTGGCTTGACAAATAATCTGCCATAAAACAATTCAGATTTGAATTTTCAGAGCTAAATTGCTCCATGGTAAAGTGCCCAGACTCTTACCCTGCAGCAAAGTAGTTTTACCCTCTTTCATGTAATCAAATGTTGTTCATTCAAACTGAATGAAAGAACAGCATACATTTGCTGCAGGATATGCATGCATACAGACAATTACAGCTTAGCTGTCCAGCCTGTGTAAGTTCATACTTTAGTTTACCTCCTGACAGCATGTTTACAAGAGTAAATGCTAGAGATGCCTTGTAGAATTTAGCATAAATAGGTCAGTCACATCCATTAAACTTGTTCAAGATTAGAACAATCTTCCCCCTTTTTACTGGGTGCCAAAAGCCTTTCTTTTCTATTACATCTTCCATTAGTCATTTACCCTTCTCTAGGCTTTAACAAGTGACACAAAACAGCCTTTATTATTTTTCTCTAAGCAAAGAAAATCTCAAACTGTCCCTAGATGACTCCTTTGAATGAGAAAATGGCTCAGGTTTCATTTGTTTCCTGTCCTGATATGCTCTTTTCTGTCACATCTGCAAGTTTAGTGATGCCTGGAGGAAACAAACAGGTCAGCGCTGGCATTTCTCAAAATTTGTTTTATTTGGTAATAAAGAGGCCTGTAAAGTCTGGTTTCTATAAAGACTGGAACACTTGTTCAATCTATGCAGCCTACAGCCTTGTGGGTAGCACTCTGCAAAGATATGCCATGATTACATCTATCAATCACTAGCCAAATCTGTTCCACAGCTAAAGTAGAAGTGAAATTTTTCCTGAGTCCCAGCTGAACAAGCTTACATGAAACAGCTCCTTGTAGGCTTATGACCACTTAGACTATGGTTTAGATCTTTCCAATCATGTTTGCTTTCCCAATATGCAAATATTAAGGTAATTATTTACTGGCAAACTAAATTTGAAGATTTCTGTAGTGCTTCAATCTTCATGATTCAGACTGACACTATTATTCGTACCTACTGAATGCTACTTTGCTTCCTACCACTTTGTTCTCATTTCAATCTCATTTCGAGCCACATTAAAAAGCTAGAACCTCTTGGCAGTTCTTGACGAATGTTTTAATGAACGTAACATGAGAGAGAAAAGCAATTGGGAAGTGAGAACTGTCATGGTACAATGATTTATGAATATTCACTGTAATTATAAATTGTGTATAATACTAGGATATATAGCCCAGAGTGTCTCATATTAAAAATCTGAAATTTGAGAGCTTTATCAAAGATTTTCATATTTATTCAAATGCACCTAGACCTTAGATAATGCAGAAATCACTTCTTTAGACAGAGAAAAATGCTCAACTTCTTTACAGAAAAGTGTACGTACTTTAAATTTTCTCTCTTTTTTGTTGATTTGCTACATACATTTACTCCTTACTGACAGCATACCTCCTGATCACTCAAAGCTCTTTAAGCTTAGGGAGAAAAATTACATTTTCCCATCACAAGTTATTTTCAAGAAAACTTAGCACAAAGGTAAACTTCTTCTGATGAATTTCTTGGTGTTGCATTTCATCCAATCATGTACTTTTTTTCTCGAGTCCCCTAGTCATTTCTTTATCTCAGGGGCTTAGCAGCTTTGAAATGCTTTCAATCCAGGTACTTTAACTCCATCATTTTTATCTTCAACCAAGTTCTCCTTTTACAGGGTGTCCACTATTAGTTCTTAGCCTGGAACAGGCTGCCCAGAGAGGTTATGGATGCCCCGTCCCTGGAGGTGATCAAGGCCAGGCCCTGGGCAGCCTGGTCCAGTATTAAATGGGGAGGTTGGCCCTGCATGTGGCAGGGGTTTGGAGATTCATGATCCTTGAGGTCCCTTCCAACCCTGGCCATTCTGTGATTCTGTGATTCTTAGCATGAAGTAAAATTAGGATTTCTTAAGTTGTGACTAATGAGATGAACTGCTACTATAGACTAGAAGTTCATCAACTGATGAAAGAATGAAATAATGAAAAAAAGAAAATGATTTCAGTATCATGGGAGTAAATATGAGCCATTAATATGATGAATCCGAAGACAAGGATGTATAGAAGCGATTTCCAACAGTGAAAGGTACATACTGATAATTATGTTAAAGCCTGTAAAGTCTTACTATTCAAAATACTTCTGTAGAGCATTGTCTAGAATTCTGGTCATCTATGTGAAACAAGGTCACCCAAGAAAGACACATTTAAACCTGGATACAAATGTAGACTGTAAGACTTAGAAGCCTCAACCCTTCTCCTAGTAACACTGTAAAAACAACCTCAATTTCTGTTTATTTATGTTCTCTGATGTCTTACGTTGCTATCATCTTGAATAAGCTATTAACAAGCCAAAGCTGTAAGCCAGATTCCAACTTTTTGACACTTCACTTTTTAATACAAAGCAATATTAACAAATAATTAAAAAATGAAAACAAAATCTGGGGCAACATGCAATCTTCACTACCTAACTACTGTTTCTGAAAAAATGACAACATTCAAAATGGAATAATATTTAATATTTAACTGTGAGGAAGAAAGACTGGCCACAAACCAAAACCAATCTACAATTACCTGGTTGGTAGAAATTTGGTGAAAGTTCTCGGGCAACTGCTCTTGCAATATCACATTCCTGACGAGCAGCCTGAGCAGCCTGATCCGCAGCATCAGCTTTAGCTCTTGCATGTGCAGTTCTGTACAGAGTAGAAAACAAGTTATATGCAGAGGAGTCTCTTACATGTTGCACCAGTAATGACAGAATAAAGTATTGCTTCCCTTAGCTACTGTACACTGTACTGTACAGTACACTGCTATGCCCAACGCTCTCTTCAACTGCAAATCAAAGCATACAAATTACTCTTCTCAGTTCTTCAGCCCTGCTCATCCTTGTATCATATTTATTTGTAGATACGCAATTTACAACCCAGCTTTATAAACTTTCTAAGTAAGAAAATAAGAAGTATCTAAATGAAACAGAGATGATGATTACATGGTCAAATGCTAACACATGGAACACAAAGTGTACAGGAGGTCAGACTGGGACACTACACTCTTGAACAGGGAGCTCTGTGACCAGGACACACAATCTTCTGAGAGACCGCAGAATGCCTTTAAAAAAAACACAACACTTTTACAACATTTCCTGCCTATGCCAGAGGGGTTGGAACTTGATGATACTTGAGATCCATTTCAGTTCAAGCCATTCTATGATTCGATGATTCCATGATGCAATTTCAAAGTTAATGATCAATGCTGGGTAAAAAGCAAAATTGTGGTACATTGGCCCAAAAATTTGAGAATGTCTCCCACAGTCAGACTATGTTGGAAATGAATAGGATCAAAAACTCATGTCTGATACTTCAATAGGCATTTGTATAAGTGGGGACTTAACATGCTTACATTCTTGTAATTCACTGAATTTCAAATCCAAAACAGTGTGGAAAAGGCAACTTTCAAAAGTCAAGAAAACAGTCCAGAATACCTTCATGAAGTAATCTGCCCTCAGCTTCTCCCTTTTTTTTCTTCTGTTTTTCTTAAAAAGTCTTAAGAATAGCTTGTCAAATGCCTCTCACTTCAGACTGTGCAAACTGATTGCTGCATCACTGCGTGATTGCATTGCTTTTTCTCCCATCTTCCTTCATCAGTTCATTTTTAAATGGTCATCTGTTTAAAAATCCTTGATGGCAGCACTTGCTGCGTCTTTCAGTGCTAGCAGATAGCCTAGAGCTGTAAAATGATTCATTAGAACTAAGGGGAAGCTAAACATAGCAAAACAGCAGTTTTTCAGACGTACTCAAGATATGCATAACATTTCTGAAACAGTTATATTCAATTTCATCATCTCAGGAGTTTTCTTACTGTGCTCTTGTTGAAAATTGAAAAAAAAAAGAGTGAATTAGGAAGACGATAAAAGCAACCATTTGTAACCCATGGGCCTGGTAATATTATTCAAAAGAAATAAGATAAATGAAAGCCTCAAATTTTCTATTACTTCTATCTAAAAATTCAGTTTTATTTTCAAGGAATAAAGAGAAGTTCTGTGTGTTTTAGACAAAGGAAGAATTATAAGTTAGCACTGACTTGGATGAGTAGGAGATTAACAGTGTGGTAGACTTTGCATTTCTAAAAAGATGCTTAATCCCATAGGGTTCTAGTATAAACACAGACATAAAAAAATCCCACAGTTTCATCTGTGGTGCCTGGAGAAACATCTATAAACACGTATGGGGATAAAAGCTGAATGTTATTTCAAAGCTTAGATTGTCATAATTTAATGGATAAATATCAGCTCAAGTTGCCTTCTCATCGGTCCCCCTAGGTCTCTAAAAAAAAGATTACAATAGCAAATGAGCGACAACACCTTTAACTTGTAGTCAGGATCAGGAAAGAAACTGTTACAAACACACTGTATAATGCCATATGTACTCTGTGCAGTTCATGAATGGTTGTACGGTATGTACTTGCTTAGTAACAGTAATCAAAACTGTTCTTTCTCTATAATCATTATTTTCAATTAGTTGAGCTATTCTTAGTTCCTGCATAATTATGTCTATGTAGCATAAACCTAATGAAGCAATCATAGCACTGGGACACTGTTTTATGAGACAATAATGTCTGCACATGGATAAACTAGACTCTGATCATCCTATTGTGATCACAGAACAACCAGACAATTCTCATGTAAAAATAGTCTAATGCTATTGTCACAGTTGCAGTAGACATTTTGAAAGCTAATACACTAAATGACCAGTATTGGAAAACTGTACTGCTAGTTGTTTATTGATGTGAATTTTCTGTAGTATTATAGCCAAGAAGCAAATGACACATCCTGTCTAAGCATGTATGAAAGTGGCAGAGGCACTGAACGGAGACACAGATAATGAGCTACTGATGCTTGGCCACATGCAGCTGGGCGGAAGCAAGCCACAGTAGGAACACACAGGAACAGAAGGTAAACAAACGGTGCCTTGCTTGGCTACTCAGACCTTTCATTTTTTTTAACCTATCAATTCCTGCTGTTCTGCTGCTTTCACACCGGCAGTCAGGAGCCTTAGCAGATCAGGATGGAGTGGTTGCTGAGATGTGTGCTGTCGATACTCCAAAAATCCACAGCAGAGAGGGATGAGGCAGTATGAGCTATAGGAAAGCAGAGACAGAAGAGCAGTACCAGTGTCCTGCTCCCATGCAGACCTTCTGCCAGCCAAACAGCAATGTGTGCACATGGCCATGCTGAGACATCTCCCTAATGGCCTCTTCAGTGGGCACCAGCACGATACTTGGCAAATGGAGAAAGAACAGAAGAAATGGGAAGAGTATGGCTTTTGTATCTAACAGAGCTGTGCATTCCAGCTGTGAACACGTGCTTTTCACTTAGTGCTATTTGCTTTCTACCACGTTGGTGTCAGGATACTTTACTAATTGGCATTTTTTGTTTCAATTTGCAATCATATAGTCAGATTTTTTTTTTTATTTCTGCACGCTCACTTCTGTCAGACTCAAACAATTTTCCAGCTTTTTCATTGGCATTTTTTGAGCTTCACAATTTGAGGGACAGTGTGCCACCTAACTGATGAGTTCACTGTAGTCCTAAATGCATTCACAGTTATTTCTGTTACAGGAATCAGGCTGTACTTACATTAAAAAATGAACCCACAGCAACAGTCACAAGTTCAGACATAGCACTGGTATGGTATGTGGAGCCTGTAAACATACCAGCCTACATCATAATTGAATAAGGGCCGCAGAACCACTGATTAACTGCATAACTACTACTAGTAGAAACTTCATTTAGACTCCCTTTAGTGTCAGATTTTGAAAGCCTAAACTTTCTAGACTGTGGGACAACTGATACTGCTACTGGTATCTTTTTTCTTCTCTGGTTGGTTGTGTTGGTAAATGTATAGATGGATTCTGAGCCACACTCAAGTGATTATAAGCACGGATTTAGAGAGGATCATACTGTGTCCCCTTCCTGCCACGCTACAAGCAGATTTCCATCTACTTATGTCTCAAAAGTGACTTGGAGGGGGAATAGTGAGGGCTGAAGAGCTTAAACATTATCTAGCATTCTGTAGCAACAATGCTTCTATACAATACCATTTGTCTTGAATGCATTATGTAATATTTATCTAAATTTAAACTCCAGTTAGAACTGTCAATTACCCGTGAGATTATTTTGTATTTCCATTATATCCTTCAATGTATTTGTAATTCATGTCCAGTCAGTGTCAAGTGAAAATGTAAGCAACATATTTACTTTCTTTCATTCATGTTTCAGCTTATATTAAGCACAGGGATTCCAACATACAGCTTGCTGAGTATTATTTGATATAATTTTCTCACTTTTCAGTTTGCCAATATATGAACCGCAATTATGTACCTAAATACAAATTATCATAAATTAATAATCTTAATAATGTTACTAATAGGTTTCCATATTTAAAAAAAAAAAAAATCAGTAAAGATTAAACCTGCATAAAATACTCAGAGATGTACAAGGGCAGCTCAGAAAGCAATGCCTCCTATTTTATTATGTTGGCCCATGACATCAGAGGGAGATGTTGTTGCTGTGGCAGTAGAGGTTGAACCCACCAACATTCCGTCACATTTTGTTGCCGTGCGACAGACGGCAGTCGAAGGGCACTTTGACAAAATGGTGTCTGACATGGAAGTGTGTCTGAAGCAAAGGTGTGTCACTGAACTCCTTCATGTGGAAAAACCGGTATGCACTGACATTCACTGACACTTCTTGCATGTTTTTGGAAACCAAACAGTGGACGTGAGCATTGTGAGATGGTGGATGGTGTGTTTCAGCAGTGGTGACAGCAATGTGAAAGACCAGCCATCTGCAGCTGTCACACCATGAAATGAACAGCGTCTTGATCAGCTCAGCTGTGTGAATCAGTGGGTTATGACTAGGGAACTGCATATGGAGATGAATATTGGCATAAATGCATTGGAAACCATGGTGGCAACACTGGAATATCACAAAGTTTGCTCCAAGTAGGTCTCACAAATGCTTCACAGGGGAACAGAAAGAACACCATATGCAAGTTTGTCAGGACCCACTGAACCAACACAAAGCTGAAGGTGACAGTTTCCTACATCATGTAATTACCAGTGATGAGGCATGGTGTCACAGATATGAGTCAGAATCAAAATGCCAGTCCATGGAGTGGTGACTGATGTGCACTGCACTCTGGGAAAGGAAAGGGGCGATCCTTCTGGATGTCCCAGAACCTAGACAAGCCATCAAATCTGATCACTGATCATTTGCTGGCAAAAATGCATAGCTAATGCTGGTGACTATGCAGAAAAACAGTGTTTTGTAGCTGAGAATTTGTTCTACCAAACAGTGTATTGTGTATCCATTACAGTTTCCTTGGAAATAAATAAGATATGTTAATTTCAGAGAGACCTATGTGTTTAATTTATGGCAATCTTCAGGTTTGTCTGACTAACTTCACGTATTGCAGCTTACGACCTATATCATCCCTTCTGAAACTGGAATTCTATTAAAAAAGTCCCTTTTTTTCCTCAATTCTAAAATTCACTTATTTTTTCTAGTAAGCAAAGAATCCTATGCTATTTGTTGCTTTTTTTTTTTTTTTCCATGCATGAAATTTTACAGCCTTTTCTTCTATCTTTTGGAGGTTGAACTCTGCAACATTCCTATAGATATCAAAAGAGTTTG